GAGGTAAAACCAGTTTTCTAGTTTATTTTAGGTTTATTTTGTAGTTTAGTTTTTCTAATTTTATTATTTATATTTTCAAGTATAAGGCAGAATTTTTCAGTGAGAAAACACTGAAAAAAACCACATTCAGTGAGCTGGACACTGAATATCCAGCTTCTCCTCAATTTAGACATTTCAGATGTCTATTCTTGTTCAGATCAATACAGAGAAAACTGTGCCCTCAACGCTCTCCCAGGCGGATCTTAATTGCTGCTGCTGCTGTTGTGTCACTGTTTTGTGTCCCTGTGCTGAAAGCGGCAGGCAGGGCTGCTGGTTGTACCCGTGGCTGTTTTTTCCCGATGGTGGCTGTGGCTGTAGCTGTTTGTGTCCCTGTTTGTGTCCCTGTTTGTGTCCCTGTGCTGGAAGGGGCAAGCAGGGCTGGTGGCTGTGCCCGTGGCTGTTTTTTCCCGATGGTGGCTGTGTTTATCATTGTTTCTGTCCCTGTTTGTGCAGGCTCTGTGGGTTCTGGGCAGGGTGGCTGTACCCGTGGCTGTTTTTTTCCCGATGGTGGCTGTGTTTATCATTGTTTCTGTCCCTGTTTTTGCAGGCTCTGCGGGTCCTGGGCAGGGTGATGCGCGAATGCTGGTGTCCCAGGATGGTGGCTGTATCCATGGCTGTTTTTATCCCTGCTGGCTGTGTTTATCATTGTTTCTGTCCCTGTTTTTGCAGGCTCTGCGGGTCCTGGGCAGGGTGGCTGTACCCGTGGCTGTTTTTTCCGATGGTGGCTGTGTTTATCATTGTTTCTCTCCCTATTTCTGCAGGCCCTGCGGGTTCTGGGCAGGGTGGTTGTACCTGTGGCTGTTTTTATCCCTGCTGACTGTGTCTATAATCATTTCTGTCCCTGTTTTTGCAGGCTCTGCGGGTTCTGGGCAGGGTGATGCGGGAATGCTGGTGTCCCAGCCTGGTGGTTGTATTGGTGGCTGTTTTTTCCCGATGGTGGCTGTGTCTATAATAATTTCTCTCCCTGTTTGTGCAGGCTCTGTGGGTTCTGGGCAGGGTGGCTGTACCCGTGGCTGTTTTTTTCCCGATGGTGGCTGTGTCTATCATTGTTTCTGTCCCTGTTCCTGCAGGCTCTGCGGGTTCTGGGCAGGGTGATGCGGGAATGCTGGTGTCCCAGCGTGGTGGTTGTACCCATGGCTATTTTTTCCGATGGTAGCTGTGTCTATAATCATTTCTGTCCCTGTTTCTGCAGGCTCTGTGGGTGTTGTGCATGGTGGTTGTACCCGTGGCTGTTTTTTCCTGTCGTGGCTGTGTCTATAATCATTTCTGTCCCTGTTTTTGCAGGCTCTGCGGGTTCTGGGCAGGGTGGTTGTACCCATGGCTGTTTTTATCCCTGCTGGCTGTGTCTATCATTGTTTCTGTCCCTGTTTCTGCAGGCTCTGCGGGTTCTGGGCAGGGTGATGCGGGAATGCTGGCGTGCCAGCGGTGCCGCCCGTCTCACCGCGCTGCGCGTCAAGAAAACCATCTCCCAGCTCTGCGTGCCCGAGGACTCCAAAGCCTGAGAGACCCCCGGTGGGACGAGGGGAAGGCGTCCTGCTGTYCATCCTTTCACGTGTGATTGTGTTGTTGTTTCTGGTCTACCTCAGATAACGCGGTTCAGTGTTRCAGCCCGAGGCGGAGCGCTCACCTTCAGCGGGGCAGCTCGGGACTCACAGCTCGGCTTTGGTACAGCAAATCTGGGACTTGCTTTGGGTTTGTGAGTAAATCAGACACCAGCAAACCGCAGAAAGGAGCTTAAAGCATCATGGCAGTGTGAAAATGCCTTTTGCTGTTGTGCTTTTCATCCTTGTCACACTCCAAAATGTCTGGTGTTGGTTAGAGCCTGTTTGCGAGAGAAACCTCATGTTGGTTCTGTCCTCAAACCAAGGAAAAGACCAAGTGAACCCAGCTTTTTGCCTGGTTTTTTTGGCAGGAATCTGAAAAGGTTCTGTCACTAAATGCATTTTGAATAACTATATTTATAATTACCTAAGTAATTAAACAAAATGGTATTTCCACTAATTTCCATCGTGAGCAAAACATTGAGTCAATTCGCTATTAACATTCATTTTTTTAATCTCAATTTCACATACAATATCATGTTTAAAATTTGAGTTGTTTTACTCTTTTTTTTTTGGTCGATCAGACCAATCAAGGGACAATGTTTCTTTTTAACATTTAGTAGGAAAAAYAAAAGAGGCAATAATTTTCTCTTAGCTATGTAGGGATGGAACAGGAGAAATTCTACCTAAAATGAGAAAATATTTATTTTTAGCGACTTTCCAATCGCTGGTAACATTTCTTAGTGCCTTTTGATGTATCAGGGGGAAGCTTAGTGAAAGCCAGTGCAGCCTTCCAGAGGTTTCTTACAGAATTCTGTGAAGCACCAGGCTGGTGATGAAYATTGACATCTCTGATCATGTTTCCATAATTTATCACAAGCCATCAAAGTGAGTTGTTTTATCTAAATTCACTGATGTTCTGGCTTTTTGGGAATTCTGCCCCACTGCATGGCCCACATATTTGAATATAGTGTTTCAATATTTTTAATAAGCAAAATTATGCATTTCATGGTCTTATGGGTCTTTAAATGTTTCTAAATCCATCTGGCCCATGSAAATGAAGCCCAAAGATGTTTCCAGAATAGCAAATCTTTGCAGAAATCCCGTGTGGCCCCCGCAGCTCTGTGGCAGTCAGTGCTGGCTGATCAGAGCAGTCCCAGGGGCAAAATCTCATCACTGGAGCTGTTTTGGGAAAGAATGAGTTAAATATTTTACTGAGCGGGGTTCCACCCTCAGTGCTTATCCTCTGGACATTGTCATTGCTTTGTGGCTGTTAACTGCCCGTAAATAGGCTCTGACAATTCACCCGTTTGCACAAAATTTAGTCACTGCTGCTTGTCTTAAATACCACAGCTCTTTGCTGATCTGCAGCTGAGCAGGGGAGGTGTTTCCCCTAAACTGCTGGGGATTCTCCAGGGTGGTTTCTGATAGAATTAAGGAGATTCAGACCGGACTGGACGGGGTTGGAGCAGCCCGGTCSGGTGGAAGGTGCCCAAGGCAGGGACTGAAATAAGCCAAGCTTWAAGRTCTCTYACAACCCAAACCATTCTGTGATTCTGGGATTCAATTCTTAYGTGCTTCAGCTACACGAGGACCCCGCGGAGCTCGGTGAGTGACTTTGCAGGATGTTTGAGGGGTCATTTTGGCAACAGCACGATCCAAAGCCTGGTGTTGACTTGACTATCAAAAAATTTGAAAACCTAAGATCCAGCATCTGCTCTTGTAGTATGTAACTTGAAAAAAAAACATTATCTTAAAAAGGAAGAATCAAAGATTTAATTTTTTTTTTTTTAAGTGGGGGAAGAGTTTCAGTTTTTAATTTCCCTCCTGGAGTCTCTGGAAATTGCTGGGCAGCCCCGTTAATTTGAACAAAAYCCTTTCTGGTGCCTGGCTGGAGGGGTGGTGCAGGATGCTCTGATACTCCTCACACAGTCCCAGCTGCACCCCAGCACTGCTTTAACCTTTTCCCTGGACAATCTCTTGGCATCAGACTTTGTGGTCTGTTTGCCCTGCCTTTTCACCTAACTCAGTATTTTTGCACTGGATTTCTTTTTTTCTTTTGTTGTTGAGAGGTGAATGTACATTTTGGTGAACCAGAGTTGAACTCAACTGAGCCAAGGGACTGCTGTTGTACTGAGCTCTGAAATGTTTGTAAACTCTACACGCCTTTAGAAAACCCCCAAAGAACGCTTGTTTTAGTGGCCTTTCCCTTCCATGTGGGTTTGTCCCGTTCCAATTTAAGCACWGAGGTTCTGCCAAGACTCTTCTGTGCAGTTTAGGGAGGTTCAGGTTTCCTCAGACGTTCCTGATAATCTCCACTTAAAGCTCAAGTTCTTAAACTCATMAAAATTTCAAGGTCAAGGATGCTCAAAAGCTGTCACCACGTTCAGCCTCTCCTAATTGATGCTTCTAGTTGGGGGAGTTACCAATATTTTATAATTTGCTTCTAATAACAATCTGAAGTTTAACACAGGGATTATGGACTGAAAGGGAAAGTTAATTAATATTTCCTCTAGCACCTAATTTTTTGTGTGACTTGAACTGCTGCCCCCAGACACCCCTTGAGAAATCAGGCTGTAATCTCSTCTGCACTTTCCTGCTTTTATCATTTGCACTTAATCAAGCTTGTTCCCTCTTGTGACACTATAAAGAATCCTACAATATTTTAATCATTGCTATGTCACTTCTTTCCTTGGCAATGGATTCAGGAATTACAAATGAATTTGTTTGGAATAATGCCTTTCCCTACAACTTTGAGCAGGGCAAATCCTTTTCTCAGTTCCCACCTGCCTGGAGCTCTGTGCCGTGGGTGGGATTAGGAGTTTGGTGTCTGCTCCTGCAGCAGAACAGTTTAGGAATGTACAGGGAATAAGCATTGAGGTACGATATATTTCTACAGAACATAAGAAATGTGCAATAAAYTGTAACTTACACTGAATGTATTTTTGGCATAAAAGGACCAGATGTATTTTGAATGTAGCTATGACTTGTGTCTAAACCTGCTGTGATTCTCAGTCCTAAGAAAAACGTGTRATGTTTTGTCAATCTACAAACCCTTTCCTCAGTTGTCTGTTTTTAAAACAAAAATTAGTATTTTATCTGGAACGTTGTAATATTTCTGGACTAAGTATAGCAGTGCAGTGCTCAACTTCAACCCTCGTGTTGTGAAATATTTGATCTGTGTACACTGAAGAGTTATTTTTAAAACTATTGCTAAAGTTATTGCTCGRTATTGCAGCTGCCTGGATGTAAATAATGATTTAGCTGTTGTATTTTGTATGCAGATTTTTCACCCCATGTACTTTGGGGAAGACATGGCAATTTTAATAAATCCAGCATACTCTGCCCTTGTGTTCCCGTGGCCTGAAACTGTTTTAATGTTGATTTTGGGAGAACAGTTGAGCTGTTTGAACCCATAGGGACCTTGACTGGTGGCTCTTGCACCCACACCAGTGTGAGCTCTCTCTTTCATACAAGACTCCCCCCATCCTTCTCTCTCAGCTGTGGAGATTTTCAGTGAAACCTGAATGGACTTCTCACCCTGAGCTCCTCAATCCTGAATTCTGCATGCTTGAAAATTCCCCTGACCCAGCCATAACAGGGGAATTTAAATCAGGCTTTATTTGAATTTAAGGCAGGTCAAAGTGAAATCTGGCGTAACGTGACCCAAGAAACTTTTGAAGGATATTGTGGGCTTTTATTTTTTTCTYAAAAAGACCTTTGCATTATCGCGATGACTTTGAGCCCCTGCTCTTAATTCCCAATAATTCAGCTTTATTGGCAGCTGCGAAATTAAAAATAATAGTACATTTATATGCATTTTCGGGGCTAAAATGAAAAGACAGACAAAATGAAAAACGAAAAGAATTAATATGTAGCGTTATAATATTTAAAGCGGCGCGTCGGGGGGTTGAGCCTGACGAGATCTCGGGTCCCTGGCCAGCTCCGGGAAGGTGTCGCTGGTTCTGTCGCCATGAACAGAGCCCGTGGCTCATGGGCGAGCATCGGCTGCCATCCCCTGGCCACCGCCGCGCCACCAGAGTGTCTGTGGCACGGGAGAGCTGCCTGCTGCCCTTCCAGAGCAATTCCTGCCTCCCGGGAGAGATTCTTACCCAGCAGAGCTGAGTGAGGAGCAGCCCCGTGAGCCGGGGGGGTGCTGCTGTCCCTGGGTGCTGTCACTGAACCCCAGCGCTGTCACTGAACCCCAGCGCTGTCACTGCGGAGAGGGGCTGGCGACACGCTCGGGGGAGGGTTTGGGTGTGGGGAGAACGGCGAATTCTTCAATTCCTTGTTATTAAATAAATGAGCTCTGCAGGAGCCGTTGGTGTGCGCTTGGCAGCTCAGGAGAGGAGCCAGCCCTGAGTCCCCGCGGGTTTGTGTCCCACACACCGTGACTCCTGCTCCGTCCGATGTCGGGGTAGGTGATGGTGAGCAGAACCCTGGGCACTGCAGCCTCGGAGGGGTGAGGGTTCCATCCCCGGGAGGCTCCAAAGCCGGGCTGGACAGCGCTCCGAGCATCCCGGGACAGTGCGAGGTGTGCCCCGCTCCAGCCCGACACCGAGGATGTGCCAGGGGCGGACTGGGGCAGAGCATCTCTGCGATCTGCCAGGACCTGCGGGAGGGGACTCGGGGTCCCGGGAGCTGCGGGAGCCGCTGMGGGGCTGCAGAGGGGACTCGGGGATCCTGCTGCCTCTGACTCGGGGTCCCCGCTGCCTCTGGCTCGGCTCCGAGCAGCTCTGAGCCCGGCCGGGGAGAACCGGGCTGGGAGGGAGGGATGGGTGCACGTCTGGGGTGCCTGTGGGGTCCCTGTGGGCTCTGTGGGGTCCCTGTGGGCTCTGGGGGTGCCTGTGGGCTCTGTGGGGTGCCTGTGGGGGCTGTGGGGTCCCTGTGGGCTCTGTGGGGTCCCTGTGGGCTCTGCGGCGTCCCTGTGGGCTCTGTGGGGTGCCTGTGGGCTCTGTGGGGTCCCTGTGGGCTCTGCGGGGTCCCTGTGGGCTCTGCGGGGTCCCTGTGGGGCTGTGGGGTCCCTGTGGGCTCTGTGGGGTCCCTGTGGGCTCTGCGGCGTCCCTGTGGGCTCTGTGGGGTCCCTGTGGGCTCTGTGGGGTCCCTGTGGACTCTGCGGGGTCCCTGTGGACTCTATGGGGTGCACGGCTGGTGTGGGGCGCAGGGCAGCGGAGGGGCACGGGACTGCTGGAGCATCTCGCACAGAGATCCCACTTTGTGCTCGAATGGGAGGTGCATTTGTCTCCGCCCTCGGCTTGTTTGCAGATGAGTCACTGGGTTTCAGAAACGTCAGAGATTGCTGCCGGAGGAACCGAAACGCATTTTTGTTTTCGAGCGCTCAGCGGGGTGACCGTGAGCAGGAAAAGGGGAAGAGGCTTTGAGTCACCCGCTGCCCGCGGTGCTCGGGGTGCCTCGGCGAGGGAGCGGGTGACACCCAGAGCCACAACTGCTTTTCTCAGGAAATAGGAGAGAGCTTTCCCCCTCCCCTGCAGGGCTTTTTAAACACCTCTTTTCTTCCCTTTAACCCAGCGGGATTCCCCAAAGAGCTCGGAGGTGAAGGACAGACATTTACATCTGTTGTGGTGGCGGTCCTGCGGTGTGCGACACTTCCCTGTCCCGGTCCCTGTCCCTGTCCCCGTCCCTGTCCCTGTCCCTGTCCCTGTCCCTGTCCCTTCAGCCGGGGAAGCACAGGGACAGCAGGCTCTTGTCACAGATCAGCCACGAGCCCCCTCCAGATGTGCGGACCAGATGTTTCCGGGCAGGCTGTGCGTCCCCAGAGCTGCTGTGCCAGGGGAGCCCTTCCTTGGTCTCCACGGGGACCGGAGGGCTGTGCCCAGAGCCTTGTCCTTCCCTTGCTGTGCCCGGAGCCGTGTCCCTCCCCTGCCCTGTCCCTCCCGTGCACTCTCCCTCCTCTGCTCTGTCCCTCCCTTGCCGTGTCCCTCCCTTCCCCTGTCCCTCCCTTTGCCCTGTCCCTCCCTTCCCCTGTCCCTCCCCTGCCCTGTCCCTCCCTTGCTGTGCCGCTCTGCCCCTCCTGCTCTCGGCCTGGGCTCTCTCTCTCCGCCCTGCCCCGACACCGTTAACCAAAGGCTGTGTTGTTTTGGCAAAGGGTGAGTGCCGGGATGCCGGGGATGCCGAGCAAGTCCGAGTATGAGCAGGCTGAGCTCAGGTGRGTGCCTGAGGCAGGCGGGGCTGTAAGGACAAATCCCGGCGGAGCAGCTGCCGGGGASAATTGTGTGCAAGAACGGAAGAATTTAAGCAGATTTCTCTAAGTGCCAGGCCCGATTGTTAACTCCCCTGCGAGCACGAGGCACAGCGAGCCCGGGGCTGTGCTCGGAGGGATTTGTGTAACATGCACCTAAACCGCAGATCACGTGTGCGCCTTTCCGCTCTCGCCGCGCTCGGTGGCGGCGGCACGGGGACACTTCCCGGTGACACTTCCCGGTGACACTTGATGGCCATGGCACCGCGCTCGCCCTGAGCCCCGAGCCCCCGGCCACTGCCATGGCCCTGCGGCGGCTGCTGCAGCACAACCCCGGCGGTCCCGGCGGGGAGCAGGCTCTGCCCGCGGACAGCAGCAGGGTCCGGCTCTTGGCCAGCACCGTGGGGACCCTGCCCCGGGGGCGCAAACAGGTACGGGCTGGGAGCGGGACTGCCCAGAGCCACCGCCCGGCTGTGCCCCAGCTCCCAGCGGGGACCCTGCAGGCTGTCCGTGCCCCTGGGCTCGGCTGTGGAGGGTGACAGCTTTGGGGTGCTGGAAGGGACCGCTCTGGGGTGCTGGAAGGGACCGCTCTGGGGTGCTGGAGGGGACCGCTCTGGGGTGCT